CACTAAACCCTAAACCCTAAACCCTAAACCCTAAACCCTAAACCCTAAACCCTAAACCCTAAACCCTAAACCCTAAACCCTAAACCCTAAACCCTAAACCCTAAACCCTAAACCCTAAACCCTAAACCCTAAACCCTAAACCCTAAACCCTAAACCCTAAACCCTAAACCCTAAACCCTAAACCCTAAACCCTAAACCCTAAACCCTAAACCCTAAACCCTAAACCCTAAACCCTAAACCCTAAACCCTAAACCCTAAACCCTAACCCTAAACCCTAAACCCTAAACCCTAAACCCTAAACCCTAAACCCTAAACCCTAAACCCTAAACCCTAAACCCTAAACCCTAAACCCTAAACCCTAAACCCTAAACCCTAAACCCTAAACCCTAAACCCTAAACCCTAAACCCTAAACCCTAAACCCTAAACCCTAAACCCTAAACCCTAAACCCTAAACCCTAAACCCTAAACCCTAAACCCTAAACCCTAAACCCTAAACCCTAAACCCTAAACCCTAAACCCTAAACCCTAAACCCTAAACCCTAACCCTAAACCCTAAACCCTAAACCCTAAACCCTAAACCCTAAACCCTAAACCCTAAACCCTAAACCCTAAACCCTAAACCCTAAACCCTAAACCCTAAACCTCTATTCTCTACTCTAGGATATATATTTAAATGTTTGCCCTACAACGGGTCCGCCCGCAGGAGGCTTTCTTAAGACCTTCTTTTCAGTTCTGCGCGTGTCCCGCAAGCTTCTAAATCGGTTTCGTTGTTCAACTCCAAGTTCGGGGCCAAAATCGCAAATTTTGCCACGCGCTAAATTTGCGCGCTTTCTAGGTCGGGCCCTCTTGGCCGCGGCTGAGCCGCGGGCGCGCCGGGGCCCCGCCGCGGGGCTGGTGGCCCGGTGGTCGTGCGTCCGTCTCTGAAGCGGGTGGTCCCGGGCTCGGTTCCTCCCTGGCGCGCGCTTTGCGCTGCGTCAGCGCGCGCTCTGAAAGCTTTCTTTTCAATTCTCTGTATTTCCCGCGAGTTTCTAAATCTGTTTTGCTGCTCGAATCCAAGTTCGGATTGGTGGGCGCGTTCGTGACCTTCTAGGACAACGACGCGGGCTCGAAGACCCACGTGTTGGCCGCAGGACGTGGCCCCCATCGGCGCAGCCAGGCAGGAGGACAGCCTCCTGGATCCTGGAGTTGCAGACGCAGGGCAGCCTGCAGTACCCGCGCAACCCCATAAAGGGAGCCTCGGAGCACTTCCGCTTCCTCTTGGTCCTTCCCGCGCTTGTTTTTTTCGTGGCCTCGATCCGGGCCGCCGGGCAATGTTTTTCGTGGCCGCGCCGTGGTTTTCCGCTTCCGGCGGTCGGCTCTCTGAGCATTTTCGCGATCGAAACGCTCTTGGCTTTGCACGGCGCAGAACTTCCAAGCTGGTGGGACGTGCTGCAACTCAGCTAAACGCGAACTCGAAATCATCGCCGAGCCGTTGAGGCTGCTTCATGAATCGATTCTCAGCGCCTGGCTCCTTGCGCGCAGAAACTCGCAACTACTCTCTGCCCTTGCAGCCTATCGCCTGCCGTTTGTCAATTCGTCTTCGTCGCTGCTCGCCGATTTTTGCAATCTGTCACCCACTTCGTTGGTCGCTCTGCGCGCGCGCCCTCTCGCCGCTTTGCTTTCGCTGCGTTCGATTTGTTGATTTGCGCTGGTGTGGAAGCTGGCCCTTGGTAGCGGGCCTGGGTGGGTGGGATTGAGATCGAAACTTTTGATTGACGTTGCTATGAAGATTTCCATGTCTCCAATCCTGTGAACCCTAAACCCTAAACCCTAAACCCTAAACCCTAAACCCTAAACCCTAAACCCTAAACCCTAAACCCTAAACCCTAAACCCTAAACCCTAAACCATAAACGCCGCGCGCTGTTCAAGCGCGCGGCTTTGCCGAGGTCGTGGTTCCACGACCGAGCTTGGCTACGCTATTGGCAAGTTCCTTTAGTGAGGAGACCCGCTGGATCTCCGAACATGGATGCGATGAGGACGGGGCTGCCAGGGCGATCAAAGGAGATCGCCAGTTGCCCCAGGCGTCCGAGTCCGACGCTGAAGCTTCTGTGGATCTATTGACGATCCACCCTGTGCGCGGCGCTCCTCTGGCTCTTCCAGCAGCTTAGCTGAGATCCTCTCTGTCTCAGCTGCCTGCTGGGCAACGTTCTCCTCGTTGGGGGACCAAAGCCAATTCTTCTGGCTCCTCTTCAGCTCCTCCAAGCTGTGGCTCCTCCACCAGCAGGGGCCTCTCCGGGCGGCTCCTCGTCTCTGGCACGACCAAAGCGCCCTCCTCGCCTGGCGGCTCTACCGCCGCCGGGCTCCTGCCGCGTCCGCAGCCTCCCCGCCTCCAAGGCGGTACTGATCCTCGCCCTCTGCTAGCGAAGTACCAAATTGAGCGATTAGGTCCCTCTGACCCTTTACTGCTCCCCGCTACCATGAAAATCTACTTGGCCGCTTCGGAGCGCCTTATTTTCTTGAGCCAAAATACAAGCGAGTCGTCATCCTGTACAGCTGAACTTGAACATGCTTGGCTCCATGCGTATTGGGCTATACATTTCAACAGAACCCAGAAAAACACGAAAAAAGGTAAAGCAAATCAAACGCAAACACACCCGATTTCGGAAATGTTGAAGCGCAGGTGCATGGATTTGGCTCAGCATGCCTGAATCGTCTATCCTTGAATGGGATTTCAAAATACACCATCTCACATAGCTGATACATCTGATACTATGCGTGCGTTGTGTTTACGGGGCTGGAACAAATGCACAAGCAAGAACGAGCTGAAGTCTTCCGTCCATTTTCGCAAAAGATCGGTCATGGATTTGCCAGTTGCGATTCAGCGGCCTCCTTATGCAATTTGGAGGCAAAAAAGAAGCGCTTCTTGATTGGGTGAAAATACACAGCATGACAACTCTTGTTGGGAATTAGTGCGGCAACCTCCCTTGGGAGGATGCTGATGCCGTTTGAAACCTCTGGGATGCCTTCAGGATAAACTTTGAGGAGCTCTTGCAACATCTCTCGCCCCGTGACCTTGGGGTGCACTTGAAGCTCCATGAAGCGGACAACTTCCACAGTAGCAAGTCGCTGACATTCTTGCTTCGTGTCGTCCATTCCTTTCCTTAGTTCACGAGATACAAAACACATATCCTGAGAGGTTTTGAACACCGAAAAAGTAAATCATCATCCGTTCAAGCCAGGCGCTTCAGATTCTCACAGGCCTTCGCCAAGTCGCCAATCCGGAAGCCACCTGAAATGAACTCGGTCAAAGTCCCCAAAAAACATGAACGCAACTTGAACGCAGCAAACACACCTTGATCATGTTGAATTGAGCTGAAACACAAGCATCCACGAAGTCCTCCCACTTGTTCTCATGCCCATGCAGTGCCAAAAACTCCTTCGCTTCCTCCTCCGTCAAGTTGCCAACCCAAATGTCTTCCTGCCTTTCAGTTCCTCCAGCATCAAAAGCCAACGCCACTGCCGCCGAAGAGGCTGACACAATCACCTTGGACAAAGGATAATCAGACATAGATACCACTCCCTCAACATGGTTTCCGTTTGCAACATTGGAATTTGCATTGAAGCTGGGGGGCATGAATGGCACTTCCGATTTTGTCCGTCGCCACATCCTTCGCAGTAGAAGAGATTAAGTTGATGCCTCGGCAAGCGGAACTGAAACAAAAAGACTAGGGCAAAATGCGCTACAGCATCGATAGACAACTGAAAAACATATTTTGTCCAGCCAGTCCTTCGGTGGTTGTACGAGGGACTTCAAGAAGAAGGATTGGAAACTTGGTGAGGTTGTCGGGAAAGTCCTTGAGCTTCTCGCGCACTCGGCGCATCATCTCTTTGAACAGACCACTGTTCTCCACTTTAAGTTCCTCGTACATCGTCGTTTCCCAATCGGCACATTTGATGGTGAATCGCGCAACACCTCGCGCCCCTCGCAAGGCCTCTTCTGTTGCCACCGACTTGCCTGACTGGCCACCGCATGTTGTTGCCAGCTCGCAATGCGCTGCCGGAGAGTTTCCATCACTGGCCTTTGGATGACCTCGTCTTGCGGCCTGCTGGGTTCAAAAGGCTCCATGGCCCTTGCCAGCGCTTCTTGGATTTTGCCTTCTGGAGAGGCTTTGAACGCCTCGTCGGCAGAACGCTTTGCTTCATCGGCGGAGCGCTTTGCTTCATCGGCGGACTTCACTGCATCCACCAGTTGCCCAAATGTGAAGGTGGACTTAGCTGCAGTTGCCACGCTAATGAAGAAGTCGCGGTTTCGCCCAACGTCGTCAACGAATTGTTGAAAATCCCTTCCCGACGTGTCAGAGGCATAGGCTGGGGCTACCATGATGCATGAGCCAACCACATGCCCAACGAGGCGTGCCCCAAGGTGTGGTGTGCATCTCACTGGCACCGCCTCCAAATGACATAGCCATCTGCAAGACCAAAACATGAAACATCACACTGGCCTTTTCTTAAACACAAACTCATAATCACAAAAGTTAGGAACCAAGTTAACATGATTTTCAAGTCCTTGCCTTGCCCTGTGGTGGTGGCACAAAGGCTCCCATCAACTTCATCAGACTGAAGCCACCGACCAGCACCATCCATGGCTTGACACGCACTTGGTGCCTTCGGTTCATGGCTACAACAAGGAGTGTGCCAACACCACTCCGTGCAGTTTTACTCCATCATCTGTTTTGTTTCAGTATTGTAAACATTTTTTTCACATTGCCTAGGTTGGCTGAGTTTTGGTGCGGTTTCTTGTTGTAGGCTTCTGTGCTGAATCTATGCATATGCTTCGGTACAGGTATGCTGTTGGAGTTGTTGATGATGTTAATGTGATGGTTTGTTGTTAGTCTTTTTTTGTGGTGTTTGGTGTACATGTTGCTGTGGGAGCTGGGGCGGGGTATAGTATTGAACTGGGGGTTGAGGCTCTTTCTGGTCTTTCAGAAGTCATGATCCTCGCGAATCTCATGTCACGACTCACCTGGCCAAACAAAACAGCAGCCAAGCTGCAAAGACTCCAAGGTCCATGTCGGGTTTCATTGCGCGCGAAACTTCAGGATCTGCTTCGTGGACAAGGCCTTGAAGAAAGCCACGAGCTGGGGGACACAACTCGCAGCCCTTCTTGTTCATCTTCAGAACCCAACAAAAACACGGAAAAAGGTAAAGCAAATCAAACGCAAACACACCCGGTTTCGGAAATGTTGAGGTGCAGGTGCATGGATTTGGCTCAGCATGCCTGAATCGTCTATTCTTGAATGGGATTTCAAAATACACCATCTCACATAGCTGATACATCTGATACTATGCGTGCGTTGTGTTTACGGGGCTGGAACAAATGCACAAGCAAGAGCGAGCTGAAGTCTTCCGTCCATTTTCGCAAAAGATCGGTCATGGATTTGCCAGTTGCGCTTCAGCGGCCTCCTTATGCAATTTGGAGGCAAAAAAGAAGCGCTTCTTGATTGGGTGAAAATACACAGCATGACAACTCTTGTTGGGAATTAGAGCGGCAACCTCCCTTGGGAGGATGCTGATGCCGTTTGAAACCTCTGGGATGCCTTCAGGATAAACTTTGAGGAGCTCTTGCAACATCTCGCGCCCCGTGACCTTGGGGTGCACTTGAAGCTCCATGAAGCGGACAACTTCCACAGTAGCAAGTCGCTGACATTCTTGCTTCGTGTCGTCCAATGACATTCCTTTCCTTAGTTCAAGAGATACAAAACACATATCCCTGAGAGGTTTTGAACACCGAAAAAGTAAATCATCATCCGTTCAAGCCAGGCGCTTCAGATTCTCACAGGCCTTCGCCAAGTCGCCAATCCGGAAGCCACCTGAAATGAACTCTGGTCAAAGTCCCCCCAAAAAAAACTTGAACGCAACTTGAACGCAGCAAACACACCTTGATCAACCAACATGTTGTTGAATTGAGCTGAAACACAAGCATCCACGAAGTCCTCCCACTTGTTCTCATGCCCATGCAGTGCCAAAAACTCCTTCGCTTCCTCCACCGTCAAGTCGCCAACCCAAATGTCTTCCTGCCTTTCAGTTCCTCCAGCATCAAAAGCCAACGCCACTGCCGCCGAAGAGGCTGACACAATCACCTTGGACAAAGGATAATCAGACATAGATACCACTCCCTCAACATGGTTTCCGTTTGCACCATTGGAATTTTGCATTGAAGCTGGGGGGCATGAATGGCACTTCCGATTTTGTCCGTCGCCACATCCTTCGCAGTAGAAGAGATTAAGTTGATGCCTCGGCAAGCGGAACGGAAACAAAAAGACTAGGGCAAAATGCGCTACAGCATCGATAGACAACTGAAAAACATATTTGGTCCAGCCAGTCCTTCGGTGGTTGTACGAGGGACTTCAAGAAGAAGGATTGGAAACTTGGTGAGGTTGTCGGGAAAGTCCTTGAGCTTCTCGCGCGCTCGGCGCATGACCTCTTTGAACAATCCACCGTCTTCCACTTTAAGTTCCTCGAACATCATCCTCTTCCAATCGGAACTCTCGATGGTGCATCACACAACACCTCGCACCCCGCGCAAGGCTTCTTCTATTGCCACAGACTTGCCTGACTGGTACCGACCCCCAATGATGGTCGCATGTTGTTGCCAGCTCGCAATGCGTTGCCGGAGAGTTTCCATCACTGGCCTTTGGATGACCTCGTCTTGCGGCCTGCTGGGTTCAAAAGGCTCCATGGCCTTTGCCAGCGCTTGTTGGATTTTGACTTCTGGAGAGGCGTTGAATGCTTGATCCAATTGAGCCACTGCAACTGCAGTCCCCGCCACTGATAGGGTGGCGCTGGCCAAGGCAACGAAGAAGTCCTTATTCCCCGCAAACTCTTCAACGAATTGTTGAAAATCCAGCCCCGACGTGTCAGAGGCATAGGCTGGGGCTACCATGATGCATGAGCCAACCACATGCCCAACGAGGCGTGCCCCAAGGTGTGGTGTGCATCTCACTGGCACCGCCTCCAAATGACATAGCCATCTGCAAGACCAAAACATGAAACATCACACTGGCCTTTTCTTAAACACAAACTCATAATCACAAAAGTTAGGAACCAAGTTAACATGATTTTCAAGACCTTGCCCTGTGGTGGTGGCACAAAGGCTCCCATCAACTTCATCAGACTGAAGCCACCGACCAGCACCATCCATGGCTTGACACGCACTTGGTGCCTTCGGTTCATGGCTACAACAAGGAGTGTGCCAACACCACTCCGTGCAGTTTTACTCCATCATCTGTGTTTTTTAGTATTGTAAACATTATTTTTTCACATTGCCTCGGTTGGCTGAGTTTTGGTGCGGTTTCTTGTTGTAGGCTTCTGTGCTGAATCTATGCATATGCTTCTGTACAGGTATGCTGTTGGAGTTGTTGATGATAATGTGATGGTTTGTTGTTCGTTTTTTGTTTTTGTGGTGTTTTGAAAATGTTGCTGTGGGAGCTGGGGCGGGGTATAGTATTGAACTGGGGGTTG